TGATGAGTGGTGTATGATGAGTGGTGTATGATGAGTGGTGGTTGAACAGCTGTTGAATGTCCGTAACACGGAAGTTTTGCACACTAAACTTCCTTTGACTATGTTTATACACAGTAGATGTTTGAAATATATATCACGAGAGGTAGCCCTTCAGGGGATGCTTTGAGTTTGTCTCGCGAAGCATGTGTGGGCTCCTCCTGATCCAATAATTGATAGTTCAATTCAACCCCCCCCTTGGAATTGATTTTTCAATACCACCCCCCCTTTGTGTTTTGTAGGGTCCTAGGTGTCCCTAGGCGTGTCTACGCTATACTTGTGTAGCACCTGTTGTCCGTAATTACTTGTGCATACTTTCTCTTCAGTCAGCTGCCGCTTAATTCATTTGGCTCAAGACTTTGAAGCCCAATACTGCACTCCGTGCCATAGAAAAGTGTGCTTGCCGTCGCTCGCACACTGACCATACAAGAGGTGGTCTTACTTGGTGTTATTGATCAGGTCCAGTGTACTTCACTGCCACTTTGGGGAACTTACCCCTCAAAGTGATAGCGGAGCTTGTGTCTCCTGCTTCGTTACGGTCAAATTTGCCCCGTGCAGGTTTGTCCGACATTCCGGACAGGAGACAACCAAGTAGCCCACCTGTCTGAAGAGTAGTGACCATGGTCCAGATCTTTAATATAGATACGGACAACGAATCAGAGTATAGCCAGGGAGAGTCGGAACCAGAGGAAGCTTACGGTGCACAAGGTTCGAGATATTGTTCCCAGCAGTCCAGATCCTCAGGCTCGACATTCCGGACTTATGAAACACAACCAGCACCAGGTGTCAAAATGACACCAAAGATTCCCCCGTCCTTCTTGGTTCGAGTTCGAAGATTTGATCGATGACTGGGTAAGCATTACCACACTTTCCGCTGAGAAGCTCGGTCCCTCATTAAAGAATGCAGTGACCAGAAACGCAGAGTATTACAAGAAAATGCTTGACAGTGAACAGCTTCGTAACGAGAGAAACGGCATTATGTATTTCAAGGACACGTTACGTCCCTACTTTGTCAAAGGAGCAAATAATGTTTTTCTCTGGCCTTTCACGCAGCTCTTTAGGACCTG